CTTTATAACGTGTTTCGAAATTCGAATTTACGTGGGTCAGACTGGTTGGAATTTCCTCACGGCTGTAATGCCGTCGACTGCTTCCTCCTCGTTAGTCTAGTGATTGTAAGCGTAACTGCCGATCATGTGGTCCCGGGGTCAGACCAAAAGCATCCCAAAGTCGAAGTTGACAGTGTTTCACTCCCGTGCATAACCGTCATTAACTGTGTGATCGTTTAAGCTGTCGTTAAAATTTTCTAACAACTTCGCAATGTGCCTCATCAGCATATTGTAAAACATTTTGTGAACAAAATATAAATCAGACTAGGCTGTAGGTTTAAGATCTTTGACTGACTGTCTTTATTGGAAAATCGTATAGTGAAACTATGGAGTGTCTCTACACTCCACATCTATCATAGACATAGTATCTTAAGTCAATCCTCTATCTACGATATCTATATAGTTTATGACACTCCATAAGTGAAACGTAAAAACGTAACCGTACCGAACCTTACGAACCGTATAGTTATAGATAATACACTATATAGTGATTTTATATTCTCTTTGATCGTAACAACTACAAAAACAAGCAATAGTCTTGTGTAGTTTGCGAACGATGATCGATTAGGAAACGTATCTTGCCACTGTACTAGAAGAAACGTTTCCGAATGCCTACTGTTAATCGGTCTAATAGTTCTTTTCGTTCACCTACACTCGCAAGACGCCAACGCTAAACCGTGCGTGCGAACTACGAACAGTGTGACTATATGTGGCAGGTTCCTGCCATTTTGGCAGGATTGGCCTTTTATTTTAGCCTCTGGCATGATCGGTTGACGTTTTATAAAACCTGGCAGTATTGGGGTATTCAAAATAGATTTCATTATGGCAACTTAAAATGACGAAAATGGCAATCCTAGATACTTCGCCAGCATGTTGGGGATTTCCTTGTATTTCACGATTTCTCGTATTATGTTTGTATCACATTCAATAAACAACTTTAAAATTTTTTGTGTATAAAGTTAATAATCTTAAAACGAATTAACACGTGTTGGTTAATATTTCAATCAGTCATAAAAGAGACATACTTTAGAGATTTCATGGTGATAACATCTTGTTAATAATATTTCGTTGACGATACGAATTATAGGTGGCGGTGATGAAGCAAAAACATGATAGGGCGTATCGAGCGAAGTGGGAGCAAGATCTTTTACTTTCATCAAGGATCTCCAAAGCTAAAGATGATCGAGACTGTGTCACTGCAAATTGGCACCCCGGCTGTCCGCTTTAAAGGAGCATGCCGGTACTAGTAAACATCAAAAAAATATGAGTGGATTCAACATGCGAAAGAATATTCTCTCAAATAAATTTAATTAAGACAAAAACACGAAACAGATTTATAAAGAAACATTTACCGTCTATCTTATACGTTAACAAGGCATTGGTGAGCATGGCGATTGCATTGCATTCAAACCATTGAAAGATATGTTTAATATTTATTAAAAAAAAATATAGCATTTATATGTGTATTTTTACTTTTCTTAGTTTAATACAATGGTAAATAAATTTGGCAGTATTTAGGCATTTTTCACTACAGACTTTGGCAGGATTTGGCAGGTTTTTAACCAAAGTAAGGCAGGATCTGTATTTTAAAGATGGTCACCTTGACTACGAACTAGTGGGAACTTTTTGGCATAAAGGTCTAGATGCCAGGCCATAAACTCCAAAAAAAAAAGTGGGAACTCTCCAGTATTATATATTAGTCTATGGTGGGAACTATGAAGCAAAGAACGACGCACGCAAACCGTAGATAGAGGATTGACTAGATAAACCATTCGCGTATGCTTTTGAGATAGAAATAGGCGGGAGGTACTTTCACTGGGTTACCAGATATTATTCCATTTCCCCCGTTATGGGTTTATTTATATTCACAGCACTTACATTCATACAAAAAACTTAATTGTAACCATAAAAAAATGTTCTTTTATAATTCAGATGATTAATTCATTTCTCTTGAAAATACATTCTGTGACTAAAAACTACGGGCGGAAACGGCGTAAAAACAGAATCATCATTCTGTATTCAACGGCGCATCGACGATTTTACTGGACATTCAATAAACTCTAGATTTCGACGGCCCTAAGTGAAGACGCTACTAGCACAAAGTGTGATATTGCTAATAAATAACAATATGTTATGTATGTACTTAAATATTAATTAAGAATAAAAATATTAAATAATAAACAAAAATTTCCACGTGTCGAGTTTTGTTTTTACAAAAAAAAAACAATAATGTTTTAACATACCATTCCATCACAAGTTCAGTGCTAAACACAGACCTCCGAAAGGAAAGGCTTTCCACTTAGGTTTTGTAGTACAAAACACGGTTATGAAGCTACTCCCGCGATTTCCTGCATGTTTTGCTAAGTTAGTGTCTTGTGTGCGGCAAGTTGTAGCGTACAAGAGAATTTGTACGCCACAACTTGCCGCACACAAGAAATGATATTACCCCGCGTCGTAAGCAATAATACAAGATAGGGATGGGGCAGTAGCACTTTCCCGATGAAAACTTAAAATAATAAATAACTGCGGTGGTTAACCAGCATAACGCATATTTTCACGCAGGCGTGGCAACTATGGTAAAAGTCATCCTATGAGGATATCTAGGGAAGGCCTTTTTTAGGTGGGTGCGTAGGTACTTACTTATGGTTAGGTGGCTTAATCATGTTACCTAATGGTTAAGGCGGTAAAATATTTTAGTTAATATACGTTGTAAAGCATCAACAAGGGTTTGTTTTTGTAATATGTTGGTATATAAAATAAAAACGAATGTTTTATAATATTCTATTTTAATTTATCATGCAGTGTAAGATTATCTGCTACCTCATATCATTCCATGGGTGGTGTATGAGGCGACATAGGGAAACATCAAAGAAGATAAACAGCAGCATTTTCCGGATAACAGCTAAATAAAAAAAACAGTGGTTGACAACCCGCTTTCCAAGCGTTGAAACTATGTCAAATAACTATAATCATGTTTATGTTCAACAGTGGACTTTTGATAGACTGTAAAGATATATATTCTATTCAAATGAAAATATATAAAAAGGAAAAAGAACTAAATTTTGTGTACTTACACAACATTTAGAAATATTAACAACAAGCTGTTCCCCCCGACTTCGCCCGCGTGGAGTAATTTTTCGCGGAACTCTAAAATAAAAGCAGCCCAAGTTACTCCTTATAACATCAGCTATCTGCCAGTGTATAAATATTGACATTAGTATTTATACGATACTACCTTCTCGGAACCCCTCGACTAACACTTAAACTTTATGGTATGGTATTAAAGTTCAAATTGACTTTTAAGTATTATTACGAATCTTTTGTATGGGAATATAGAAAAGTGTTGTTTTTTAGTACTTTTTCAGGCAATTTTTTAAATTTTTCTCACCGTAAGAACCATCTTCGTAATTCAAATAATATTATAAAAAAAGAATTAGTGAAATCGGTTCAGCTGCTCTCGAGATTTGCGCTTAGCAACACATTCAGCTATTCATTTTTATATTATAGATGTTACATTAAGTAAAACAAATGAAAACACAATTATATATTAAATATAATTCAATAAAATTAAAATAAATAAACGATTATTTATTAATTTTTCATTACATTAATAAATAACAAAATTAACAAAATTTTTGTCTTCTTTCTAGAGCATTCGTTGTTATTCTTGGTTTGAGCAGCTTTAGAATTTCTCAAAAATATGCATTTATAAACTTGATTTATACTTTGCATGGCAGAAATTCTTGGGTGCTGGTTGTTAGAATCGGATTAGAAAGGAGTATATATATATATTATATGCCTTGTATAAAATATATTTTAGTGGTATAAATAATAAGGTACAACTCCTAAACTATACTTAGATCTCTTGTCAAAACATCTTTATTACATTATTTATGTCAATTAAATGGAAATTATCATAATTATATATTATATTTATTTCTTAATTTATTTACACATTATTGTTTATAACACCGAAATGAAAATATATTGAAATTTAAAAAGGAAAATGAACTAAATTTTGTGTACTTACACAATATTTAGAAATATTAACAATGTTACATTAAGTAAAACAAATGAAAACACAATTATATATTAAATATAATTCAATAACATTAAAATAAACATACGATTATTTATTAATTTTCATCGCATTAAAAAAACAAATTTAACAAAATTTTTGTAATTCTTGGTATGAGTAGCTTTAAACTATACCTAGATAGGTAATACTTATCTCTTCTCAAAAACATCTTTATTACATTATTTATGACAATTAAATAGAAATTATCATAATTATTACATTTATTTCTTAATTTATTTACACATTATTGTTTATAACACCTTTAAAAAAAGGGATTAAGGGTGGACTAAATGTCCCATTGGTAGGCATTCCCAGTCAGTTTTACAATTATTATTGCATAATAAATTATTCATTTGTATATTTAGGTCAGGCCTTTAAATTACTTATTTTTTTTAATTAAATTTTTATTTGCATAAAACATGGTAGTACAGATAAAGTTCCAACATTTGTAAATGAGGATTCATGTTTAACCAATCTATCTATAAGTAAATATTTTGTCATTGTCATGCAACCAAATTATTACAACTCATAATAATACAGAATGTCAGCATTTGAAAATAAAATAAGCAATGCTAGTCAATTTTTAATACATACAGAACAATGTCAAAAATCATAACTACTAATAAGGTCAAACTTATATCACTTATGGAGAAACAACAAGAAGTTATAACATTTAACAAAAATATCTTAATTATATTATAAATTACATCCGCCTTATTCCAAAACACGGACTTAATATAGTACTGGAGTTAGTAATATATTTAAACCATAAACTAAGAAAAACGTTATTACAAAACGAAGATTATCTCTGGTTCAAGGATTATCTATGGTATTAAAGTTAATCTTTCGAGACCCCTAGTTTAGCTATGGTACTAACCTTTCTATATAGTTTGTGGTACTCTATACTAACCTCAATTTCGGTACTTCTTAATTTGAGGTGAGCGTTGTTTTCATTTGGTGTTATTAAAATCGTTAAAAATGGATATTAACATGATTGACTTGATGGATTTAGAAGATTTGGACATGCTGGAGACCACTCGGCGACCTGATAGACATCGACATCGTGTGAATCCGTTTGAATTGAGTGACGAAGATTTTAGGTATAAGTATAGGTTCTCAAAACGTTTCGGAGAAAAAATAGTGGGTATCTTACGTGAGGATTTAGTGCACGACCCTCGAGGATGCCCATTGAGTCCTGAAATTCAAGTGGTTTGTGCATTACGCAACTGGGCTCGCCATGAAGTAAGTGCTGTTTATAATCTTGGTGGGGTCAATGTACCTAACATTACGCTAGATAAAAAGCCAAATAATACATATTATTGTTTTATTCGTAGATTCAAGACGATACAGCTGGTTTACATAGTGTGTCTCAACCAGTAGTCAGTAGGACATGTAAAAAAGTAGCGGAAATTTTGTCACGGAATTCCCGAGAATTTATTAAAATGCCTACTACTTTAAATGAACAACAGGAAACCATTAGGAAATTTCGCAGTATTGCTAATTTTCCTACAGTAATTGGCGCAATTGACTGTACTCACATACGAGTAAAGAAAGTGAATGCTGATGGGGGTCAGTTATATATTAATAGAAAAGGATTTTCTTCAATTAATGTACAGGTAATATACAAATATTTTAAATAGCTGTGATTGTCTCTTAATAACTTTACTTTATCATAATAGAAAATAATTTGTTTGACTATCTTATGGTAATAAATATATATTAAAATAAACCAGAAAAACATAAAGTACTAATGAGCTCTTATTTTACAGGTGGTTTGTGATGCTGACCTGAAAATCATGGACATTGTTACCAGGTGGCGTGGTAGTGTACATGACTCCAGAATATTCCGAGAATGTAGACTAAAACAGAGGTTTGAGGCTGGTGCATTCTCTGGAATATTACTTGGTGACAGTGGCTATCCTTGTACTCCTTACCTATTTACACCGCTGCTGAACCCCACAACACCACAAAAAGAAAGATATAATAGGAGCCATATCCGTACCAGGAACACAGTGGAAAGATGTTTTGGTTTGTGGAAGCAACGGTTTCGTTGCCTATTAAGAGGTATGTTTGGAGATATTGAAACAGCAAAAAAACAATTGTTGCATGTGCTGTACTACACAATATGGCCATCGACATGAGAGAAGATGTGTTTTCTGGTGAGAGAGATAGCATTGAACAATATTCATCTGAACCTATAGTACAAAGATATATTACACCATCAATAAGGGGAAATATTAGAAGAAGACAGTTTATTGAAACTCATTTTCAGTAGGTAAACATTTTTTTTTACATATTTATATAACTATTTATAATTAAAATTTATAATTATATTTATAAAATTGTCAAATTTTTTTCAATTGTCTAAAGCTATGTATATATAATTTATTTTATTTTGTTATTCAGAGGCCAATTTTGGCTATAAAATTACATTAAAGATCAATAAATGTATAAGACAATTATAATAATATTTCTTTTTGATTTCAGACATAATACCCATTTATAAAGGAACATATTTCTGCAGAGCCGTTGTCAGCTGTCAAAGAATAACGACTACATATTCACCAATATGAAATAAATTCAGGGGAGTATTGTGATAATATTTCATTTATTGAGCAAAATGCTTTTATTTAGGCTATAAATGATTGTGTTTCAGGGAAAGATGCGGGGTACAGCACATTCCACATCAATATGAAGCTATATTATATAAAGATTTAAGTGCTGTAGAGATATATTTAGATTTTTTAATAAATATCGTCCCTCCTCTACATTCACAGCCAGATTTCCTTTCCAGAGGTGCAAGGGTCCACGGGGAGTAGGACTGTATGATAACTAAGTAAATAGGTTTAGTTTTTTTTATTATAGTTTTTTACTATTGTATATTATATTTCATTGTTATGTAAATAAAATGCATATTAATTATAATTATTTATTTTAATTATTAATAAAAGATGTACAAATATTTGCAGCAATTAAGTACCTGAAAATAATAGTTTCATATATGAGGATATTTACAAACATGTATCTGATATAGTCTCAAATATTTTTTTTTTTTTATAGGATAATGATGATAAACACAGTCTACCACACACACACACACACACACAGTCCATCTGATGTTAAGTAACTGCTGTGGTGCATAGACGTCCACATCTATCCTCGACTACAAATCAAAATGCAGATGCGTTGTCACCCGTGTGGAGTAAGATGGAATGCCTCGTTTCCTGTAAAAGAGGTCTCTCTCATACAAAATTTGTACAAAAATTTATCCAAAATTTGTCAATAAACAAGTTTAAATGTTTTATTAAAGAAAAATTTTATAAAAAGGTTATTATAATATCAAAGAATACATAAATGAAAATATTGGAAATACTGGAATTGAGGTGATCGCCACCATGGTGGTTCTATTAAAATTCATTTAAAAATTGTACAAATAAAATTATTGTTAAGAGAAATATGTTTATAAAAAAGTCCCACTGGGTTTCTTACTAGTTCTTCCCAGGACTGAGGTATTTTCCGAACCAGTGGTAAATAAAAAATGTCTTTCAATAAGTATTCTGTAATAATCTATATTTAATAAAACTCATTCTATTCTATTCTCGTTCTATAAACTCACCATAATAAACACAGCAGCATTAAGCTGCTATTTAACTTGTGTTTTTCTGACTTTCTAATAAAGATATTTGTAACTCTAATTTTCTAATTTTTAGGTTAGCTATTTTAATATTGTATTTATGTTCCTCTTCAATCATTTCCAGTTGTCTTTTTTTTAAATCTGTGTTACTTTTTACAATTGTTTGGTGTACATCTTCTCTTCTGTAAAATGAAATGGAATACTTAATGTAAGTTTTGTAGTTATTTTAGACATTTACAAAGTATTCTAGAGTAATAAAAGTGCACTTAACCTTGTACACCAATTAAAGAAATATTTTTTAATTATTTTTAAATCAATTCATATTAAACTTTGCTTTTAATATTTGAAAACATGAAACAATTTTCAGTGTTTAAATACTAATTTTCACATTTTAAAAAGTATGTAATGTATCAGACTATGTAATTTTTTCAACATACCTATTTTGCAAGCTATTTTTCCTGTTTTTAATTTTTGTTATACCCCTAGTAATAATATCTTTATTGTTGGTTATTTTCACCATTTTGGCACTTTCTTCTGTATCTGTAGTTGGATCTATCTCTAAAAATTAATATAAATATAACAGTTTTAGAAAATTAACATTTATAATATTTACAAACTTGTATGCCTATGATTGTAACTATAATAATAATATATTTTGCTTTTTAATAAATATTCAATCAGTATTATTTACCTTGCACATATACAACATTGGGTTCTGGATTTTCTACATTTTTAACTATAGCTGTGTCTGTTTTTTCAAAATTAAGGCGAGGCTTAGGGTCAGCAACTTCTTTTGATGTTGTAGCCACAGTCACTGGATCCTAAAATAAATCATTAAAACATTTATTAACATGTTTTCCTGTCACCTGTCACCTCTATTTTGCCCTTTATTGAATCAGGTATTTTCTATGTTGTAGAAATATTATTATGATCCAAGACAAAAGGTAATTTAATAAATTATTAATTATAATACCTAATAGACAAAAATAGAAAATTATAATCGGACTGTGTAGATAATCTAGTAACATGTGTGTTATGATATTATATAGACCACTATATATTAATTTGTGACATTTCAATTTTGAATATAATTAATTATAAAGAAATTTATGTTAAATTGTTACTAAGTATATTAAATTTTGAATATTCGGAAAATAATTTTGGATTGTAAATTGTATGCTTTAAGAGTAGATTTCAGAGCACTACCTAGGTACTAAAGTAATGGAAAATAAAGTTCTTTAATTTTAATTAAATTTGTAAGACATGTAAGTAATTTTATTTACCACTGCATCACTATCATAATTATTAACTTCAACGATAAAGTCGTGAGGGGCAATGGACATTATTTCCAAGTCCTCAAGAGAAGGTGATGGAGGTTTTCCGCCACCCCCGGTCTTTGATTGTTCCCTCCTATATGTGTATAAGTTTGATTTAGCACACAACTTCATTCTTTTCCAAGATAATTTCAATTCACCATCTGATCGGCGTTTACCTGTTATCTCATTAAATCTAAAAAAAATACGAAATCACGTAAACAATACCGTACCGTGTTGTTTGTACACATAACAAATGCGATAAATACTTACTTATTAGTTATATTCTTCCACTCTTTTATTTTTTGAATATTTACCGATGTTTTTGTCGACTTATTCTCTATTATATGTGCTGATTGTGAAATAAGTGAACGTAATATTTCCTATAATAATAAGAACATTCCTTTTAGTTGAAATAAGGATAATAGGAGGATAAGAGTATTGGTACGTACTGACAAATAAATTTCGATATTTCACTAACTTTTTCTTCAGAACTCCAATTTTCACCCCGTTTTTTCTTTTGTTCCATTATTATATAAATATAACTGTAATAGCAAGTACTTTTAATTAATTAATTATTAATAATTTAATTTACTTATTATAAGGCTGCAATATAAACTATTTTGAACGTCTCGAATCCCGCGCTCGCGTTACCTCTGTAATTCACTACATTTCACGCTAGAGTTGTTAAACTGAAAACAACTTGATATAATCAAAAGCGCGTCAAAAGTATATGTCGTGCTTGTTCAATAGATTTTAACGTAAACAAATAACAATGTATGATATGTTTTTGTATTGATGGATAATTATTTAAGCATAATTAAGTGTGAAAATAATATTAATATTTTATGAAACCGAACGTTGCATTGAATGAAACCTGTATGAACGAATGATAGAGTGTCATTTTTTGTTTTTTATCTGTGAATGATATTTAATATAATACTAACGTTGGTATTAACTGGTCCTCGGGTAGTCTGCGTTTTGTAATAAGCACACGTTTTAGTGCTGGTATTAACTAGAATATTGTAACAAACCTGGACTTCTTACTCCTAAACTTAACCCAGTACTAAAACATTTTTTTGGAATAAGACTGTAAGTCTCTGTTGACAACGGTCTAAATAGTTTTGAGCATTTTGTTAGGGTTCTAGTGCTTATAGAGATAATGTATCATCAAAAAGGAAAACATAGGGACAAAGAAGAGGTTGGTTGATATTTATTTTACTGTAAGATCTCATTGCTATAAGGTTATAAACCAGAAAGAAAAGAGGCAGGAGCGTTTGTATGGAGGAAAAACCACCCGAATTTACTTTTAATTTGCTCAAAGTAAAGTTGCACAAGCAAGCATGTACGTTAAGACGGCGTGTGGACGCTACACATGTTCTGGTACGACTTTCCATTGACGTCAGTGGAGTTTGGTGTTGATACGTATTTTTACAGAAAGATTACACTATTATAAGCACACACACAAAGTCTCAATATACGGAAACGCGTAATTTTTGAGAAAAGAATAATTGAAAATCAATTATTCTTGCAATGTTTATGTCTAATCTGCTAATAAACTGGCGCCATTTTGTAATGTCATTGTCGACGTCAATAGGGATGTCGATTCTTTCCGAAAAAGATCGATTTTTTTTAATAGATTCGAATTGTAAACTGATGTATCGATTCCCAAAAAATCGATTTCTAAAATATCGATATTTTTTCATGTTTGCATTTATAATGTAAATATAAATCCATTTTATGAGAAAAAAGTCCCCTTCATCATAAAAAAATAAGGGGACTGATTCATAAGGATTTCTGTATCTATTTTGAGACTGCTACGTCTCCGCCGCTGCGGGAAGAGCAACCTCTACGCCTTAGCGTAACAAATCGGAGGCATCCCTCCTGGCATCCGCAGCTTCGGCTTGTTGGTCGCCTTCGGCGACCAGCCTCAGCCGCTCCGGCTCGTCCGATGCCTACGATTTGTTACAGCAGGCAGAGGCTGCTCCCCCTACGCGCCTCCGGCTCTATAAAACCACTCTAGGGGTAGGACAGACTCGTACCAGATGGAGTCGGGGTCAATCAATTCGGTTCTTTGACATAAGTTGAACCTAACCTATTTTATTTATCTGCCCTAATAGGTACTGTTAAATAAAACAAATTTCAATAAGAGATCATTTATCATGGTATCTTTCTTGTTTTTCATAAAATGGGTTTATATTTACATTATAAATAGAAACATTAAAAAAATATAGACATTTTAGAAATCGATTTTTGTGAACCGATACATCAGCTTACGATTTGAATCGATTTAAAAATCGACCTTTTTCGGAAAGAATCGACATCCCTATTGACGTCGACAATGACATTACAAAATGGCGCCAGTTTATTAGCAAATTAGACGTAAACATTGCAAGAATAATTGATTTTCAATTATTCTTTTCTCAAAAATTACGCGTTTCCGTATATTGAGACATTGTGTGTGTGCTTATAATAGTGTAATCTTTCTGTAAAAATACGTATCAACACCAAACTCCACTGACGTCAATGGAAAGCTAAGCCCATGTTCTTTGCGGAAACTTTGTACAAACTGTTTGCGCATGCAAGACGCTATCGTGTGGACGTTGAGCACCATGTTCCAATTTTTTGAAGTTATACTTCTTTTGGGGTGTTTGGGAAAAATTATGAGAGTGAATTATTACTACTTATTATGCGCGCACACACCGACACCTAAAAACGACACCATGAAGTTGTTACGATGCGCGCGCACACTGACACCTAAAAGCGACAACTTCAGTGGGTGGGTATCTCAAGTTTTATTGTTTTGTTACGCTAAAGAAGTATAACTTCCTACGAGCGTACATAAGTACACACACACTTTTTTTCATAAAATTTTTACAGAGTAGTAGAGCCACGCTTCAGCTATATTATGGTTGTAGCACGGATGGCTCGGCTCGACAGGGGTAGAACCACGCTCTCAAAGAATACCAGCGTAAAATAGCATCTTGATGCTGCTGTGTTTCGTATGGTGTGTGTAGAGATCCGGAAACACTTTTTACTGGAAAAGAGGCATTATATCTTAGTCCTCAGGGGACAGCGCATCTGCATTTTGATTGTTAATTGAGGATATAAATGTAAATGTCTATGGACCATAGCATCCACTTACCATCAGGTGAACTGTGTCGTTTGTCACCCTATACTATAAAAAAAATTTTTTGCATAAATTGTTTGCGCATGTAAGTCGTTGCGTGTAGCCGGAGCTTAATGGGGAAATGCCAATCTTTTTTTATACGAGTACCTATATAAAACTCCGGTGTGCATGTGGTCATAACTCAATTTCTTCTCCTTTCAAACGGTTTCACCGATTTCGATAACATTTTTATAATGTACTCATGGGGTCACCTGGATGATTCTTAGCTATAGTTGGACCCGGTAGGTGGCGCTGTAGTCGAGACCCAGAAATCACCCGTGCGAAGCCAAGGCAGATTGCTAGATATACAATAAATACAAATTACCTCGTGGAGGCAAGGACAAGCTATGTTTGAATCGCACCTAATAAAACCCCACGATGTTCCACCTTCGCCACATACAGGGAAACCAGGAGAATGCTTTTACTAACATCCATGGTTCCATCAGCAGCAGCCATCATCTAAGCGAGTCTACGAAAGATGACAACCTCTACCCCAATTCTTCTCCACAGGAGAGTCATATTGGAACACAAGCACTTCTTTCTACACGGCCCTGATCTTGCGCATCGGATCCCTCGAATATCTCTTATATCACAAAGGCTACGTTTATACGTGGTAGAGCCACGTTACAGCTATATAATAGTTGCAGGGCAGCACACGTTACCGCTACAGCCTATTAAAGTCCACTGCTGAACATAGGCCTCCCCCACCTCATAGAGGTGATTTGTCATAGTTGTCACGCTTGGAAAGTGGGTTCTCACAGTATACCAGCATAAAATAGCAGCTCAACGCTACTGCGTCTCATATGGTCAGTGTAGAGAACCGGAGACCCTTTTTACTGGACACGAGGCATTCCATCTTAGTCCTTAGGCTTGAATTCCGCCTACGCTGACGTCGGTGGCGTACCTACGTCGGTCGCGCGTACTAATGTAGCAAACAACGCGCCGCTGTCGTCAGCGTCGTAGTGTGAGGCTATATATAGAACACAATGTACATTAGTACGCGCGACAGACGTCAGCGTAGGAGGAATTCAAGCCTTAGGGTTGTCAACGCATCTGCATTTTGATTCTTTATCGAGTCAGTAAATATATTTATATCTATGTATCCATCAGGGGCGGACTGTGTGTTCGTTTGTCACCCTTATTCTATAACAAAAAAAACATCTTATGCGACATTATATTTCTCCACACTCGCCTTACCCTTTTTCTTTCGATGGTCAAACAGTCAATCTGCGGGGATTGACTGTTTGACCATCGATGACCTCTCCCTTCCATACTTGCTGCGCATATGGCAACCACGTTGTATAGACATAACAATGATTACCTGAGCAGGTTTTATATCCCGCGTCGGTATAGGATCGTCTTCTTCTATAATTTTGAGAACCGTATCGACTATGTCACCCGGGTATGCATGTCGTTGAAGAAAATGTATATATCTTCTAGCAGAATCACCCATAGTTTGTTTCTAGGTCTATTAATCTATGTTTTACACGTTCAAAATTTCCCTTTTAAAACTGAAAAATACAAAAATTTTACCTGGAACCATGAATAAGTTGGCTCGGCCGGGGAAGGATCACGCTCTTACTGACCAGCGTAAAATATATAAATAGAGAACCGGAATACGGAAATAATATGAGTATACAGAACCGGAATCCCTATTTACTGGATACGAGACATGCTATCCTAGTCCTCAGGTGTGACAACGTATCTGCACTTTGATTCTTAATCGAGGATAAATGTAGATGTCTATGGGCCACAGTATCCACTTACCATCAGGTGGACTA